CCTAAAACTTACATAGATTATATGTATTCCTCATACATCTCTTTAAAAACAAGGTAGGTCTACAATACTCACAGTCTATAAATATATATCAATACCATTCCTTGTTTTGACTAATTTAAAATCCTCCAAATAAACTTCTCTATGGAAAAGAAATATTTTCTGGTAAGCATCTTGCATTAACTTGTAAAAGCTTCTTTGTACATCTCCATACAATTAATTAAATAGGTAACATTAACAAGAACTAAACAGAATTTACAGGAAAAAATGTTTAGTTATGGGGTAAAATATAATTTGAGTGATACTAAAAAAAGGTAGTCTGCGTCTGATTAAGTATTGTGGTCAGTCATTCAACTAATATTCAAACTGACAATATTCTCAAAATGCCTATGGCAGCACAGTCAGAAGATGCTGATTCTTGTTTGTCTTCAAGCAACAGGCAAAGGCCAGTCCTCTTGGCAGCCATCATGAGCATGTTCCCACTGGGGCCTAGAGTACTGTTTCAGTACAAGCTCGTAAATACCTATTATGTCAGTAAAATGATTTTCATCTTATGCTATTCATTTATTTTTTGAGATGCCCAAATTTAATTATTTTTCTTTCTTTCTTGAGTTGTAGAGTTGTATAGGTTTCACTTTTCAATTTCCAAATGGGCTGCAGCCCCCTAGACCACAATATGTATGTTAGAGTGATACAACTATAAAAATACTTTTTTGTGGGGGAAAGCAGAACTGTGTTAGAAATCCCTTTCTTTCTACTATTTAACAAGAGTGACGTGTTAACTAGTAACTTCTGGTTAATTTTTAAAGAGATGGTTATATAGCATATTAGACGTGATCAATACGCATTAAAAATTAAATACTGTAAGATTTCTAATTAAGTATTAAATCATTTTACTGGCTAAATGGTGTGAGAACTCTAAAAAGGGAGACATGAGTGTTGGTTAGAAAACTAGAAAAGACTATTCAAAAGGTGTAATTAAACAGAACACTAAAAGAAAGTTGCATTTGAGGAGGCACAGAAAAAGGGAGAAAGACACGCTACCTATCAGCCACAGTATAAGCAAAAGGTAAAGAAGCAAGAGGATTGGGTTGCATAAAACCGTAGTATAATTATGGGAAGGAGCACTGAGAGAAATGTGTAGGCCTGGGTATCAACAACAGATATCGGAGTGTAACAAAAGAAGTAAAATGGGTACTTCTGACACCACAACACAGTTCATGTTTTGATTTATGTATGAGGTGAACTGCATTTACAACTAAATTCATAACAGCATTAACAACAGAATGATGCTATTAATCTAATTAAACTTATTACTAAAATTTTCTCTTGCAAACTTTATGGGCTGTAAAAAGCTTATGTTTTTTGAGAAAGAAAAAATCATACACTATATCAATTGCATGTGGTATTTGCACAGTGGTGAAAGCACAAGAAACAAACACTTCGCCTGTTTAAACAATCACTATCCCTGTCCTCACTGCACTCCCTTTGCTTTTTTGTGGAAGAACTAAAAAATGTAAATTAGTACATACTATTCTTTTCAGTTATCTTAAGGATTTCCCTTTGATAAAAGTGTATCCTGGACCTTTATATGAGAGAAAGTAAATCATTCTTAAAGTGAGTAAGAGGGGAAACATCTGCTATATTTATAAACTAAAAATGTTATTTTGTTTTTTATTAGGCAACTATGAACTGATTTTTTTTTTTACTGTTTCAAATATAATAGAAAAAAATCCGGGGCCAAGAGCAGGCAATTCTAACATCTCAAACTAACCTTAATGGGGAAATATACTATCAAAAAAGTACGTTTTGATTTTTGACAGGATTTCAGTTCCTTGGAGGAAGGCATGTAGAAAAGAGGTGGCAAAAACATGTAGTCAGAAAATCTTGGGTTCAAATCTTGGTTCTGTCAATTATTGGGATGTTTGTTTTCTTAAGATAATTGCTTACTCTTTTTAGAGTCTGTAAATTAGAGACAACAATATCTAATATAGTTGTTTCAAGAATAAGTGTGTATATTAGCTATGATAGTTAACTGCTAAGTCTACAAGAGTAAATAAAATAGAATAGGATCTCATCTTATAAAAGTTCTAAGGTTTTTAGTATTATTCTGAGGAAGAAATAAAAGAGAAAATAAGAGGCTCATGCTAGAGTTAACTGGATCAAAATGAACTGTTCATGAGAGATAATCTACTAACAGAAAACCACCTGCTAACATCTATCATCATGTAATGAATATTATAGCCAGGAGATACTGTCTATTAGTTTGAACACATGAAACTACCAATTTTATCATTTCTGTTTTACAAAACTAGCAATTTCGTGTGGAATATTATAGCCAGGAGATACTGGAATAAACTAATATAGCCCTCCTATTAGAAGTGTGTTTCATATATTCATAGAGTATATATTTTTATAAAATACAAGTTAATGCACCTATAACCCAACTCTGTCCTAAGACATACTGTCTAAAACAATACCCCTTCGTCAGTCTTTCTGCAAACTCCAAGATTCTACTTCCAAATGTGACAATTCTTTTGATCCACAAAGTAACTAAGTGTTCATTAACTTGCCATTAAATACTCTGTCTTTCTTTGGCAAAGAAATAGGAAGGAAGAGAAAAAAAATAGGGAAGGAAACTAATTTGCTGAACACTGATTTTGTGTTAGGCTTAGTACTAGTCAACTTTTATAACTCTTCCCCTTTAGTAATCCAAAAAATGAGAAGCATGATTAATTTCATGTTTGAAAGAAGAAAAACCTATATTGAAGTTGAGTGTGTGATTTAGCAAGGTGTGGAAACTAATAATTAATACTTTTTTGCCTCTAACATGTATTTTATTCCTTCTTGGCCCCTCTATATGAATATCTGTGCCTGGGACTCTTGATCAGTGTTTAAACTTTCAATTGTAATTTGAACAGTATTCATCTAAAGCAAATGCACTTAAAGGTAGCTGGTTTTGCTTATATTATTCTACATTGAAAATATTGAATATTTCTAAAAAGTAATAAAATATTTAAAAGGACGTTCCATGAAATTTTACTAACAAAACAAAATCAAATTGATTTGTCTTTGATGTCAACGCATAAACCACAAAGCACAGAAAAGCCAGGGTAAAATCTACTGAATGAAGACACAAAAAAGAGCCATGCTAAAATTATCAGCTTCATTAATAACATTAGAGAAGATATTAGCCATATATCTGCAGATAATATAAACTTGGAAGTTTTAAAATAGGCGAAAAGAGACTAATAATACTGGCTGCTAAAATGGTCAAAAAAGAAAACTTTTAAATGTAATACAACTCATGCAAAATACCCTACATGGTTTGGGTAAAATATAAAATAAGGCTGATAAATGAAAGTCACTGAAGTAACAGTGGGTTACATAATATAAACAGTAGAAATCAGGGTTTGAAGGATGACTGACATTCCATCAATTAAATATTTTGAAATTTTTATATAATTTTGTACCACAGGTCACCATTATGCTGAGATGAAAGTAAATTTTTAAGAAAAGTTCTTAAAAAAAATAAGGTAAATTAAATGTAAAATTTAAATTATGGTTGTAAATGTCTTCCTATCTGGAAGTAAGGGTGATACTTTGTCAAGAATGGAAGTAAATGGGAGAGTACCTAGATTTTGTTAGTGTCTTTACCTACTGACACTGACTTACTACTGGAGACTAGTTTTGTCGGATCTTTTTTCTGTGAAAATATATACATAAACAACTGATTTATTCCAAGATTGACGATCTGCCTCCCTTGTTTTTTTAAGCCACACATTTGTCAAGTTAAAAACAAACAAACCTGAATCTCTCTTTTCACTTGTCTGTGATTCCACTGCTACTGAGATTCTGTACCTCAAAGCCTTCTGTCCATCATCAATAAAACCCATGTGGAGGGCAGGCAGAGGTAAAACAAGTCTAATCTTGGTATCACAGTGGGACCCTGATTGATACACCTATAATAAACTCCACTCACTTCAGCACTATTTTTAAACAACAATGAAGAGAAGGGAAGGGGAGAAAAATAATACATCTAAAAAGCATAGAAACTACTTTTAATAATGAAATATAAGGTTCATAGTAATGAATACACATAGATACTTGCTATATCTCAAAATAATTAGACTATAACTAACATTAAAACTCCAATGAAGAGCATTTAATGTTTTGTAGGTTAAAGTGGAATTTAAGGATCTTATCATGATTCATGACCAGGATCACGAGGCACATATATGGTAAGAAGTGTAGTTCTTATTTATAAAAGGGGAATTCAGAATCATCCAGTTGTAGTTTCCTACCTGCGCTGTGAGGAACTTCTGCCGGCGTATTAGCTGGAGCATGTGCACCTGGAGGAATCTGTATTCCGGTATAGTTGCTTGATGGCATGTTGCCCGGGTCATAAGTTGAAAATGACGTCGACTGTGGTGACTGAGTGGGCATAGAGGCTGCCCCCACATCTTCATTTTCTTCAACATCTACTATATAATATATACACAATATTATAGTAGGTATTTTGCAGTAAAAATGCTAAGTATTCTTATTTTGCTATACACATAACAAAACCTTTAGATGTAATTTCTATTTAATGCAGTTGATAAGCAGGGTCTATTTCTTAAAATAATAGTTGTTTTTTTTGAGTTGGGGTCTCACTCTGTCACTCAGACTAAAGTGTAGTGGCACGATCATCTCACAGCATCCTTGAACTACTGGGCTCAGGTGATCCTTCCACCTCAGCCTCCTGAGTAGGTAGGAATACAGACATGCAATACCACACCCAACTTATTTTTTTATTTTCTTTTCTTGTTGTGACAAAGTCTTACTATGTTGTTAAGGCTAGTCTCGAAAGCCTGGGTTCAACCATTCCTCCTGCCTTGACGGGCATTACAGGCATGAGCCACTCACTGTGCCCGGCCAAAAATAAGTTTTACTTCTATTTCTTAAAAAATTTAATTGTGCCTGAAAATAGGACTATCATTTCTTTCAAGTTAATATTTTCTACTTCTGTAAATTTTTTTTGTAGTATATTTTTCTTTAAAATAAACTTTCTTTAAACTTGTGAAAAATCAAGGACATTTCTGGCGAAACATTTCACATTTATGCTATCTAATAAGAACTTTATTTTCTGGCAGCTGCCTTTTATTCAATATTTACTGTGCACTAGCTACTAAATGATTACCTGTGGTGTGTTATTCAAAGCATTTAGTTAATAAATAAAAAGGAATAACATTTCACATTTAGCTATACAGAAAGAAGTGATGAGATACTGTGTTCTGAAAAGTTTTAAAATGCAGATTTTAAAAATATACTGTATCATTAGCTGAATCTGAAAACTATTTTGAAAAAATTAAATTTTTAGAGTATATATAAAATGATAATTAGCTACTTCTGGGAAACAGTAATTTAAAATAAAAGGAAGCTAGAGCTACAGATTTACGGAACAGAGTAGATTTTACTGCTTCTTATCAAATTTTTAAGTAATGCTTTTGTCTGATTATAGACATATTAAACAGTCAATGTAGAAACTTTAAAGAAAATTAACTTTACCTACTACTCAGATGAATATTTTACTTAGTAACCTTGTGAATATATTTGTATTTTACATACGTTAAAATCACTTTTCCTTATAATTTTTGAAGAACTCTAACATTTATATATTCTGAAAAAGAAAAAAAAAATCCCACTTTTTAAAGGCATTAGAGAGTCACCAAAAGTTGGTGGAAACTAAGAGTAAGAAAAAAATATCACCAGGTAAGGTTTGATTTTGTGTTTTTCGTCTGCACTACTCAACAGTCTATGCAAAAGAAAGAGTTACTGAGAATGTGTGTATGAACTCCAACTAAATACTGCATAGTCTTGAATTATGCACATTCAGGGAAGACTAAGGAGTCCTGAAGAAAAGTAGTAATTTAAAACCGAAAGAAGCAGGGACAAAGTTTGAGTTCAGGCAAGTTAACTGTTGCTGGAACAAGAATCAAGACTCTGCAGAGGATGATAACAGAATGCAGAGAAATATGTTATCAACAATAGAAGTTATTAAAAGAGTCTACAGAAAAACCAATGACCGAGATATTAAAATCTGCAGAAAAGTATTTTAAATCAGCTATACTATCAATATATTCAAGGACATAAACAAAAAATATGGCCATAATAAGTGAAAGAGAAAAAACTACTCAGAGAAAACTGTAAGAAGGAAACATAACCAGGTGAGATGAACAGAAAACAAACGGCAAAATAAAGCTTTAAATCCAGCTATACAGCAATGACATTAAATGTAAATGAACTAAACAGTATTTCTAACAAAGGTGCTGAGGAGTGAATAAAAAAATGTCTATATGCTTTTTTACAAGAGGTGCACTTAAAAGTACAAAGACCCAAATTTGTTTAAACTAAAAAGATGAAAATGGATACGTCATGTGAACACCCAAGAAGAGATGAGGTGACTCAATATAACAGACAAATAAATTAATGACAAGTAATATGAGTAGAGATAAAGCAGAAGGAACATCTCACAATGATAAAAAAGGTCACATAAGTACCAAATTGATGAAAACTGGGGTGACTAACTTTAATATCATGAAAAATAAAATTCATGGCAAGAATTACTAGCAAGATATAGTGAAAGTTACATAAAAATAAGAGTCAATTCATAAAAAAATTATAAAGATGAATGTGCCTAATACAGAGCCTCATACAAAACTGACAGAACTAGTGAAAATTCCCATAGCTGGAAGATTTTCACACCCTTCAGTGTTTCACATTCACAGGCAATGCAACCAATAATTGCAGAATACATTCTTTCAAACTGTACATTCTTTCACCAACACAGATCATGTGCTGGACATGCAGACGTTGGTAAACTTTGAAATACTGAAATCTTGTAAAACCACAGCAGAACTGAATTAGAAATTAATAACAATAAGACATCTAGAAACACTCCAAATATCTTGAAATTAAATAATATATTTCCAAATAATCCATTACTCAAAGAAGAAATCACAAGGAAAATGAGAAAAATGTTGATTTAAATGATAACAAAATTAAACCAGTGCTTAGAGGGGAACAGACAGATTTAAATGCTTGTATTAGCAAAGAGAAACTTTAAGATCAAAGATTTACATTTCTTCCTTAAAAAGCTAAAAAAAAAAAGTAAAAGCTAATTAAACTCTAAGTGCAGAGAAGGAAGATGATCTGAATAAACTTATGCTTATTACAGAAACTGAATCCATAGTTAAAAATCTTTCTAGGAATAAAATGCATAGCATAGACGGATTAAATGTAAATTCTATCAAACACTTAAGAAACAATACCAATCTTGTAAATGTTTTCAGAAAACAGAGAAGAGATCACTGTCAGCTTGTTTTATGAGGCCCGTGTAAAGTTCACAAATACTTGAATGCAGATACATAAATCCTTAATAGTAGAATCAAATCTTAGCCATATAATATAAAGTCTCATGACTAACTGGAGTTAACTAGGGAGTGCAGGGTGGGTTCAACATCTGAAAATCAATTTACTCTTATTAACAAAAGAAGAAAAATCATATGATAATTTCAATAAACGCACTTGACAAAATTCAACATCCATTTTTGACCAAAGTTCTCAGCACCTTAAGAAAATAAATTCTTCAGTACCACACAGGGCAAAAAGCAAAATAAAACAATTGACATAATTACTGCAACTGGTGCAACAGACAGAAAAAAGAAAAGGAATAAGGGTTGGAAAAGAAAAAGTAAAACTACCTCTCTTTACAGATGACATAATTATCTATACAGAAATTCTCAAGGAAACTTACAAAGTAACTCCTAGAGCTAATAGATAAAATTCAGCACATTTGCAAAATAAATGATTATACAAAAATCAATTATAATTAATATAATAGAAACAAACTGGAAAACTAAAATTTAAAAAATTCCACTTACAAGAGAATGAAAAGACAAAAAGTATTTAGAAGTAAATTTAAAAGAGAAAAAAATAATTTTAAGGTGGAATAACTCAGAAGACACCACATAATCCAAGTGATCAGTTAACATCAATATTTCATCAACATCATATGCCTCCAACGTAAGGCAGAGAGGACACAATCTCAATTTGGGGTATTCCTGCAAAAAAAATGCATAACCTTAAATGAATTATGAAGCAACATCAGACAAACACATACTAAAGGAGAGTAACAAGTAATTGCCTGTACTCTTCAAAAACATCAAGGCCAAGGAACATTAGACAGCCTGAGGAACTATTTCCAGGTTAAAGAAACTTAACAGACATGAACAATCAGATGCAATGTGTAATTGAGTTGGACAAGGAAAAAAAAAATATTGAGTCAACTACTCAAATATGAACACAAGTGGAGATCAGATAATACATTGAATAAATACTATATTTCCTAATTCAATGTACTTAAATAGTCCTGAAAAGTTAAAATAGCATGTTAAAAAAAACAAAAGTATTTTCACAGTCTTTAAGATTATATATATATAACCATGTAAAAAGATAAAGCATCTCCCCAAAGCAAATGTTTGATTTGATGGTATTATAAATACAGTATGTATGTTTACATTCTCTACAAATAAATGTATGTAAAAGGCACCTTAGATGTAAACAGTTTACAGCACTGGCTCTGCAAAGTACTGAAGGTACAACTTGTCCTCTCTGTTTATAGTAAAACGCAAAAGGAGAGAGGTCAATTGAAGGAATTATTAGGCAAAAAGGAATCTGACTCTAGAGATTTGAAAAATTTTTAGTCTATCCATATTGCAAAAAATGTTCAAAAAAGCTTGTTTGGAAAAGAACATTAAGGGTGCGGCTGAACAACCATTTGATAAAAAGATCATGGGTGTGACTCATGGACCTAATCAGCCATCTCAGCAGAAGTCACCCTGATGTGACTGTATTCAGGAATAGGGTCTTTAGAAGGTAATTAAAGTTAAATGGGGTCATAAAAGTAGGGCCCTAATCTGATAGAATTGTGGTCTTATAAGAAGAGGAAAAGAGAACACAGTAAGAAAGTGGCTGTGTGAAATCAAGGAAAAGGGGTCTCATCAGAAACCAAACCCTGTGGAGCCCTGATCTTAGACTTTCTAGCTTCCAGAATTTCAAGAAAATAAATTTGTTGTTTAAGCCATCCAGTCCATGGTATTTTGTTATGGCAGCCCAAGCACACTAAGACAACAAGAGACAGAGTAGAAAACAAAACTGGTAAAAAAGGTGTCAGATGGTGAGTCTTGGTAGGCTAAAGATCTTGTTTCTGTCCATTTGAAGCCATGAAGTATACTTCATGATCTGTTCTTGCTTGACTTTTAAAGTATTTTTCATGTAAAATGCTGCTTACAGCAATTTTATATAATAAATGCCTTGCATTCTGATAGTGTCCAAAGCTGACAAATCATTTTCACATATACTGTCTTCTGCCTTCAAAAATTCTTGAGGTAGTTTATGTTACTCCTGTTTTATAGTGGAGGAAAATGAGGTTTTTTTTTTTGTGGACAATGGAAGCAGTGAGCAGCAGGACTGACATAAAACATCCCAGATTATGGTAAGTATGAAAGTATGAAAGGAGGTATGTAAAACATTTTCAAATATTAAGTGAAAAAGTGAGATATAAGGTTATGCCAATAAACTTAAAAAAAATTCAATTCTGGCTGGGCTCGGTGGCTCAGCCTGTAACCCCAGCACTTTGGGAGGCCAAGGTGAGTGGATTGTCTGAGCCCGTGGGTTCGAGATCTGCCTGGGCAACTTGATGAGACCTCATCTCTACAATAAATCAAAAATTAGCCGGGCGTGGTAGCACGTGCCTGTAGTTCCAGCTACTTGGAAGGCTGAGATGGAAGGATCGCAGGAGCCCAGCAGGTCAAGGCTGCCGTGGCCAGGAGCGGCCATTGCACTCCAGTCTGGGTGACAGAGTGAGACTCCAACTCAAAAAAAAAAAAAAAAAAAATTCAATTCTATTGTCATGATAAATAATCCAGAAATTTAGTCATGCTTTAAAAGTCCATTTTAAACACTCAAAAATCTTAATATTATATTATTCATGCCGTAGTATTTGTGCAAAGAATACAGAACTTAAGAAATGTTCTCCTTCCTTGTGGTTCTATGACCTCAGGCAGGCCAAAGCCACGAAGAACCTCATTTTCCTCTACTATAAAACAGGAGTAACATAAACTACCTCAAGAATTTTTGAAGGCAGAAGACAGTATATGTGAAAATGATTTGCCAGCTTTGGACACTATCAGAATGCAAGGCATTTATTATATAAAATTGCTGTAAGCAGCATTTTACATGAAAAATACTTTAAAAGTCAAGCAAGAACAGATCATGAAGTGTACTTCATGGCTTCAAATGGACAGAAACAAATTAACTTGAAATACTGTATCAAAGTCCATCTCTAGTCAAACTGAAAAATAATTTACACATAGCATTCATAGTACAAGTGGAGTACTTCCTTTCCACTGAGTGGTATTATAAAATTCTTAACAGTCTTCTGAATAAATAAGTAAAAGTTTATCCTGTCTTCCCCACTCATTCTTTGCGGGGGGGGATGTCTTTCTGTTTCTGGACTTTCATTGACATATAATTTATATTATATAATAAAATTCATGCTTTTTAGGTATATAGTTTTGAAAAACTTACATAGTGTATAACCACCACTATAGCCACAATATGTAATACCGCCATCATCCCCAAAACTTGTCCTATGCTCCTTTGTAGTAAATCCCTACTCCTCACTCCCAAAGCTTACTTCTCTGATTCCTATCCCTATAGCACTTCCTTTTCCAGAATGTTACATAAATGCAATCACACAATACATAACCTTTTGTGTTTTGCTTTTTCGGTTATTCCTTATTACCGTTTATGTTAGCAGCTCACTACCCTTTAACTGCTGAGTGGTATTCCACCGCAAGGGTGTTTCACAAACTGATCACAAACTAGATTATTTACAGTTTTTGGCAATTACAAATAAAGCTGTTATAAATATCCATATACAGGTTTCTGTGCAAACACATGTTTGCATTTCTCTTGGGAAATAAATATCTAGGAGCAGGACTGCTATATCTTATGCAAAGCATATGTTTGATTTTATACAAAACTGCCACCTTGTCCCCTTTTCCTTTCCCATAAGATATACGCAAGTGTTCCAGCAGCTTGAAATCCTTGCCAGTCTTGTTGCTATCAGCCTGTTAAATTTTAGCCCTAGATTTCAGTAAGTATGTGGGTTATCTGGTTGCGGTTTTAATTTGTTTTCCCCTAATGACTAAAGGTTTCAATATCTTTTCATGCACTTAATTGCCACCCATACATTCTTAAATGACATATGGAATACTCAACATAGCTGTCATATTTGGTCAGTGGATCCCTACACAACTTTGTAAAATTTTCCCGTATCTATTAAGTAAAAACAAACAAAAAACCAGGTGCAGAACAGTATGTATACTAATAATTGCATGAAGAAAGGAAAGATATATATTCCTGTTTGCTTGTAAATTCATAAAAAGTAATCTCTGTGAATTTATACAAAAACTAAAAACAATTATTTGCTATTTGAGTTTCTGTAGGTTCTGAGAAGACAAGAAATGTGCTGGACATGAGAAATTCACTTTCATATACACTATGATTTTTTAACCATGTGAATGTATTCTCCACCCTCAAAGAATCCACACAATTCAAAAAGATACACAAAAAATAATAGTGTTCTTTGTAGTTTGGAAACATTTTATAAATTATAAATGGATTGCCTTTCTTATACAGAAGTGAAATATGAGGAGGTAGGAGACAGATAAACTATTTTGATGACATGGACAGATATTATAGTAGTTTGGCTTTTATCTTTCTGTTCCTAAGTTTATGATTTTACACTTAATTGTCATAGATTTTGGACCTGATAGAAACAAAATTGTATTGTTACTCCCAAAACTCTGAATAACAATCTAGTGAACAATATGATTCTACTAAATCATTTTGCTTAGAACAAATAAATACACACCATTATCTTCTTCAATTCCAACAGGGCCTGCTTGAGGAGTCTCCCCATTCTTTAGACAATTATGGATGTATGTTGCCTTCCACCTTGCATACTTCCTGTGTTTCACATTCTAAAAGAGAGTATTTACATGTCAATATATGGTAAAGAAGTAAAAAGTAAACATTTAAAATCTTCACTACTTCACCATTCATTTAATTTGGGGAAGGGGGGATTTTTCTCTTTACTTCTTTTCTGTTTATTTCATATTCTCAAGTCACCCAAAAGGCTAGAGAATTTGAATATGTCTTGTTTTTTTTAATGGTAGGGAGGCCATATGTGCCAGCCTGTACCTCACTTAAGTCATCAGTTCACTTCAGGAACTTCTTGCTAATGTCACCAACAGTCCACTCCACACTGGAAAATTCAAGAGACACTTTTCAGGCATCATCTTTCCAAACCTCTTAGCAGCATATGAAACTCTGGGCCATTCCAACTTTTGTGAAATATTTTCTATTCCTGTTTCTCATGACACTCAATTTTCCTGGTTTCTCTTCTATCTCTTCCAGCTACTAATCTTCTATTTGACTAATAATTTTAAGTACCCGGTCCTAGCAGACTAAAAACTAGTGGGCCCACATCAATGCTGACTCATACAGAATTTTAAATATGAATTATGTTTTCTATATGTATGTGCTAGGAAAATGACAGAAAATCCAGATTTCTAATGCCTTTTTAAAGAATGGACAATCTGAGCCATTTATTTGGTAATAGTTATCTGAGCAGAATGGAGTCAGTGCCCTTCCGATGATGTATATTCATTCATGCTCCCTCTCTCTCCCACTCCAGTTCACACACCATATCATCTACCATCAGCATCATGATCCTTCCATGTAGCCTAGTTTCTTATCTCTCCCTAAGTTTTCCCATGGCTTTAAATACTACTGATACCTTTACTAGTCTTAAATTTATGTATCTAGCCATAGTTGCTTCTGACAAATATTCAACTGTGTAACAGCACAACTTGGATGTTTTAAATACAAGTTAAAATTAATTTGCTCAAAACTGTTCTTCTGATTTCCTTACTACCTTTTTTCTCCTTTGGAAATGTCAAGTAAGAAATGCATGGAAGCAATTTTTAGCAGCTCTTTCTTATTCCTTTGCCTTTCCTCCCACACTCTTATCTAACTGACCAGGAATTCAGTTGATTTTGCTTCTGAAACATATCTTAAATTGTTTTTCCATTTTCTCTGCGATAGCCACTAGTTTGTCTCCTAACTCATTTTTTTGCCCTACCCCTCATGGCATTTTCCTTATCCAGAGTACAGTGATCTCTCTAAAATATAAATCCATTCATGTCAATCTTTTTGGTGGCTTCCCAGTACACTTTATTAAAATATAAACTAATGTGTGCCACAAAAGTCTCTTCTACCTGGTTTTTGCTTGTGCAACCTCCTCTCAATGTCCCTATCTATCCCTTTCATTTACTACGGTCCAGCCATGCAGGCACCTTTTCTACTCCTAAACATGCCATGGCCCACACAACCTGTTCTCTCTGCCTGAGCCCCTTTTCTCTCACCTAGCTAACTTACCCCTACTGAACTAATTCCTCATGTCAGATTAAATGTAACTTCATCAGGAAAAGTTTTCCTGACCTTCCCAATCTAAGGTAAGACTCTCCAGTAATCTCACATCTTTTCTTTAACAATAGTTACCACAATTTATAATGATATATTTATAAAGTATCCTTTTCCCTTCCAACATATACACATATGCCTTAGAACAGCAGTCCCCAACTTTTTTGGCATCAGGGAACGGTTCCATGGAAGACAATTTTTCCACAGACTGGGGGCTGGGGAGGAGGGAAATGGTTTAGGGATGATTCAAGCACATTACATTTATTATGAACTTTATTTCTATTAGTATTACACTGTAATATATAGTGAAATGATCATACAACTCACCACAATGCAGAATCAGTGGGAGCCCTGAGCTTGTTTCCTTGCAACTAGATGGTCCCATCTGTGGATGATGGGAGACAGCAACATCTGAAGTATGTTGCTTATGTCCAGGCTACTCTGTAATCTCATTTTAGCTGCTGTCACTGCAGAAAACCCTGCTTCACAAAAATAGGTGCTGAAACAGAAGCAGGCTTTTCAGTGTTTTTGTGGCAATCTCGGGATATTCTTCCTTGACTTTAATCCAGAATGTACGGAGATTTGAAGCTGTCTCAAACATACTTTTAAGGTCACCGTCATGTGCGATCTCAAGCAAGCGATCTTCTAGCACAGAAAAAGCAAATTCACCTGGCTTATTCACACATGAGTTGTGGATCCGTTTCTTCCCACTCTGGGGGTCTTTTGTGGTTGTGAAGTAATGCTCAAACTCTCTTAAAAGCTAAGATAGAGCCAGGCTCGGTGGCTCAGCCTGTAATCCCGCGCCTTTGGGGGCTGAGGTGAGTGGATTGCCTGAGCCGTGGGTTCGAGACCCGCCTGGGCAGCAAGACCTCATCTCTACAATAAATCAAAAAATCAGCCAGGCGTGGTAGCGCATGCCTGTAATTCCAGCTACTTGGAAGGCTGAGGCAGAAGGATCGCCGGAGCCCAGCAGGCGAGGCTGCGGTGGCCGGGAGCGGTCACTGCACTCCAGTCTGGGCAACACAGTGAGACTCCAACTCAAAATAAAATAAAATAAAATAAAAGCTAAGATAGGTGTTCATGTGCCAGCTGGGAGAAAGAGGGCCCTGGCTCAGTCTCTTTCAAAATCTCTGCTCATGTTTGAAACATGTTCAAAATCCCAATGTTTACTCATTGTCCCTATAACTCCAGCTTGGCTTTGAATGTAATCACTTTAGCTTCCGACTTGAACACAGATGTCACTCTCCATTGGAGTACAGATCGAGTTCGTCGAGCAGGTTAAATATGTGACACAAACAAGTTTGCGATCCTTTCTGTGTCACTGAAATGCGCTGCCAGTGGTGGCTGTTTTTCTAAAAGAAATCTCTGGTGTGGCTCTTGTAACTCAAAAACTCTGGTCAGTGATCTACCTTTAAAAAATCATCCCACTTCTATGTATAAGAGAAGATATATGTGTTCTGCATCCATCTCTCCACAGAGTGGTAAGAACTGATGTGAATTAAGGGCATGTTCTTTAATGTAGGTGATAATTTTAATCAGATACTGCAAAATATTAAGTTCAGGCGACACTTTTCGGCTAGCCAGTGTTTCTCTATGGATTGCACTGTGTAGACTCACATTCAGAAGCGATCTCTTTGACCCAAGTAGTGAAACCAGAAAGCTGTCCAGTAATGGCAGTTGTTCTGTCTGCATATATACCGACACAAAATTACCAATTCAGTTTTCCTGATATGTATTCATTCAAAGACTTGAATAGTTCTGCAGCTGTGGTATTGGTTGGCAACAAGAGTGCAGTAACATATCCTCATTCACATCTTGCTGAAAAATATGTCACACAAAAATAAGCATTGTCGCCTTGTTGTCAACACTGGTTGACTCATCAACCTGGAATGTGCACCATGACTCATTAATCCTCTTTAACAATTGTGCCTCAATATCCTCTGCTATTTCATTGTCTAGTTAAGGTGCTACTCGAAAGAGGAACAGAACACATGCCACCTTTGAACTGCAGCCTCTCTTAAAAGTTCATGACAAATGTCCTTAGTAGCAGACAAGATCAAATCTTCACCAATAGCAAAGGGCTTCTTAGCTTCAGCAATGCAGTTAGTCATCAAGAATGACAGACACATTTGATTAAGTGGTGGCCTTCAATAATTGCTTCTGTTCTTCGTGTACATGGTTTTTTCCCTTAAAAAACTCCAAAGGCTTGTCTTTTAATGCAGGGTGCTTGGTCTCCATGTGGTGAAGCAGTTTTGAAAATCTCATGGCTTGTTGGATAGCTGGTTGCCACATATTATACAAGGCAGGCTTGGAAAATGTGAATCATCTGCTGCAATGAACCTGTAATTTAAGTAGGATTCTTGGTATTTTCTTTTAAATGCAGTTTTCTTTTTGTTGGTTGTCTTAGAGTCTCCTGTTGTCTCATCATTGGGTTGTTTTCCCTTTTCAGAGAGGCTCTCAAATGATGTTTGTTTTTTACTGATTTTGGCTAGTGTTAGCTTGTAGGACTTACCAAAACTGTGACTGAGACAAGTGCAAAGTACTGAAAAGAGGTTCAGACAGAAATGGTAAATAAAATAATGGGCAGGCCACATGCCGACTAAAAAAGTGTCGGATTCTGACTTAAAGCCTGCCACCAGACGCAGTTGTAGAACCTGAAGTACATCGACTCACTTGCCACTCACTAATAGAGTTTTGATATAACTCTGCAAGCAACTGATTTATTATGGTCTCTGTGTAGTTAAACCTCACTGCTAATATTAATTTGTATTTGCAGCCACTCCCAGCAGCAGCATCAGTGCCCCAGCTCTACCTCAGATCATCAGACATTCAATTCTCATAAAGAATGCACAACCTAGGATTTGCATTCCTATGAGAATCTAACGCTTCCAATGACCTGACAGAAGGTGCTGCTCAAGCAGTAATGTGAGTGATGGGGAGCTACTGTAAACACAGTTCATGAAACTTCGCTTGCTTAGCTGCCACTCACCTCCTGTTGTGCGGCCCGGTTCCTAACCAATATTGGTCTGTTGTCCGGACTTAGGGACTCCTGCCTTAGAATATAAACTCATTAAAAGCAGAGCCTACATCTGTCTGTTGGCTTTGTGATCGTGATCAGTACATAGTGATCAGTACATAGTAGCTGCCCAATAAATACGCACATCTCAAATGTATGATGGCTTAACTGATTCTGACAGAAGTTTCTGTGGTAGTATATGGAGCTATTAATTTCTGAGGTATGTAATGAACTACTGGTTTAGAAAGTTCAATTAAGTTTATAATATAGTTAGAATGATTTGGAATTTCCAGGGTTTGACTGTATTTGACCTATAAAAACAGAACCCCTTTTTCTTCCTTTTCCATTCCTTGAGAACAAAGAACATGTGCTAAAGCACCAAGTTTTCCAGATTATTTTAAATTGTTCAAAACCCTGAGATTGAAGGTCTACAAATGCTTAATTAGTATTAGACTTAAAGAGTCTCCAGGTCTGCATGTC